ACACACACACACACACACACACACACACACACACACACACACACACATGCAGCAGTGTGTGAAGACAGAGGGCAGGAGCGATTCTCACACTCGAACTTGCTTGCTCTCTCTCACTCCCCCTTTCTTTCTTGCTCTCTCTTTCTCTCACTCCAGTTTTTGCCTCCGACACACGATTCTTAGTGTTTTTGCTCTTTTTTTTTTCCAGCAAGTGAATCCCCCCCACTCCCCCCCACCCCACTGAATCCAATCTTCTTTTTATTTGGAAGTGTTGTTCCCTCTCCCCCTTTCTCTAGACACACATTCACACATGCACACACACACTACTTTATATACACAAAGCCCAGCGATAGGGAGAGGGAGGGAGAGGCAGAGGGAGACAGAGTGGGAGAGCAAGCAAGAGGACGCCATTTAAGCAGTTTGTTACGAGCACTGCAAGTCCCCAAAATGGCTGAAAACAAACAGGAACCACGCCAACTCAAAAAACCTGGGCACAAGGACGGCCGGACGGACACGCAGACAGGGAGTGAGAGGAGAGTGTGCGAGAGAGACAAGGAGACAGAGAGAGGACAAACTGGCGGTAGCCTAATGGCGGATGGGAGCACTCCATGAAACAAGTGAAGTTGAGGGAGAAATGGGTCATTAAAGGGGCACTCCAGCGGTTCAGCGTTGCACTTAGATAAAGTTCAGGGACTTACGAGAGACAGATTGAAAAAAAGAACGGTCAACATCGAGGCAACGGAGGCCAAGATAGCCGGACTTAAAGTCTCTAGTATGGGTCAAGCTTCAATAACGCTGGATCCTACATTTCCCAAGATGCAACTTGATTGCACCTTTCACTAGACTGGCAAGTTTCCTTGTGTTTTCACACTCCACTTCCTCAGTTCCTAACCTAGACGGGCCTTCAGATCCAAAATTGCACTTTGTGAGAACAACGCTATGGGCTGATGGAACCACTTTGAAACGTTGTCATCGTGACAATAATTCCATCCATCTTGACAACTACAAAGTAAACAGTTATCCACCGTATTTGCACACATTTGATAGCCCATCACAGTGTGGTGCTAAATGACTTTGGTTGCAGAAAACGTTATTTGCAAATACTGCTTACACAGATGGTGGTGGCATCGCATACACAAATGGTTGTCGCTGCATGCTAATGCGTGGGCACGGTGTATGCGGTTTGAAATGTGTGAAAGTTACGTTGCAAATCGCATTTGGCCTGTTTTGAATTTGGTGAACTGGGACTGAGGATCAAGTTTTTTTTGCCCCCTGTGCTAATGCGGTGTTCCCATAATGGCTGCCAGAACACAATCTTATTTTCTTAAAGCACCCTTTCAGACATTATGCAACTGTTTTCACAGGCTCAGTCGTACATCCCACGACGAGTAAATCGTTTTTTTTCATATGTAAAATCAGTGGAGTGGCTCTTTGAAAGAGAACAAGGAATAAAGGTGAAGAGACGAGGGCAAAACCTGGGTCAGGGACACTCTACGATTGTCCACGACCTCAGCGAAACAGGGCTCATGTGCCATCAGTGACGATGCCGTTCCTGTCAATCAACTGCTTTTAGGTCAGCGGTTGTATCCAACTCTGACATATGTGATCAAAACTACCGCTGGCGAGCTCCTGGTTTTGTTTTACGACCTCCCCTCACCAAAAACAACGGCGCCACTGCGTCACCATCAAGTCCTGCAGATGGTCATCACTTCTGATTCATCCGTATCCATGCAAAATGCCTCACAACAACAACAACTCTCCCCCGTTCTGGTTGCTCTCGGCCTCGCACGTCATGGTCAGTGGAAATTCCACATATCTCTGTTCTCCCTCCGCCGGCCGCTCGGCAGCCTCAGATCGGGAGGTATTCTATCAGCTGGAACAATAGGGGAGAAAAATGTGAGGAGGGGTGGAAGAATGTTCTAACACTGCTATGCTTCAACACTATTATACTTCCCACTGTCCTTTTGAGTAGAGCTGTTACCCCCCCCCCCCCCCCCCCCCCCCCGTCCCCCCCAACTGAACCTTGACGCCAACAGCCCGCCCTCCTCCCCCCTGCCTCTCTCTCCCCCTCTTTCATCACTCTCTCCTACCCTCATTGTACGCTGCCACACTTGTCTCCATGGGAACCTCTCTGGGATCGGGTGTTGTTCCTGTGACCTCTCTGGTGGCTGTTGAGAGTTAGACAAACTTTTTTTTTTTCTCCCCCCCGTCCTCCACGCTCTCAAAGCATGCTGGGTGTGTGTGGAGGTGACACATGACAGCAGTTGTGAGCAGCTTCAGGATAAGAGAGTAAAATTAAAAAGCAAAAGAAAGAGTCTGTCTGTCTGTCTGTGTGTGTGTGTGTGCGTGTGTGTGTGCGTGCGCGCGAAGCAGATTGCCCGTTGGCAAAAACAATAGCGTGCGTTTGTGTGTGTGTGTGTCGCAGGAGTGCGACCACTCGGCCCGCACATGTGTGCAGGCATTGTCCTGCGGCTGCAGCCGGCCACAAACTCTGTATTCAGAGGCTCCCCCCGTAGTCCAGCCGCCCCTATTCACGGATGTTTGGCCAAACGTGATCATAGCTTTTCATGCTGTGCTACCAAGCGACACGCACATCTGAATACACAAAGATGGAGGAACTAAGGGAGCCATCTTGGTGGGAAATATAAGCCATTAGACTTTCAATATTTAGTCTTGACATCAGTATTAAATCCAGTCTAGGGCCTTAATGCGTTTATCAACCAGCAGGCTAAAATACATTTATTTTATATTCTATACGTAAAAGATGTGGTCCCAAAATTTTTATTTTTCAACAGCATAATTGATTATTTAAAGAATAAAACATATATAAAAAGAAAAAACTAGCACAATTATCATAGAAATCACACACACTTGAGTAAATGGTGCAGTTAAAGGCCCCCTGCGGAATGTTTGCTCGCTGACAGCGCTGTAGGAGCAATGTTTTGAACAGCGAGTCCCTGTATTGTTGGTTTGTCACGGTCCACCAGCATGACGAAACGCATGCACACGCGATGGGGGTAAAGTAAAACACATTTCTGCCGACTGTGAAGGGCAGTAACAGTTGACAACGTTGATGTAGCGGTGTGCGAACAATAGAGGAGAAGAAGGCCGCAAGTTGATCTAAAACAACTTCAAAACATTTCAAACATCTTTTGCAAATGTTTTATGGAGGTAAGATTACATTAATTCAACACGTTCATTAGGCCTCAAACCTGCAGCGGTTGATTTTTTTTTGGCCACATGGGGGCAGCAAAATCAAGCTGTGACCAACGACAAATATAGAAAGTGTAGTTATAATCATCTGTGGATTCATCCCTGTAAACCCTTTCATGTTATTATATTTGATAAGGAAGGGATTTGACGTGCACATCAGGTATCAGATCTTTTAGAGATCAGAAAAAATACAGAATAGAGACAGCTGTTACACAATCAGTGCCAATATGTGTTTCTTCTGAATTCCTTCTGATACATATGTGTGAATATTTCCTGAGGCACGCTCAAGGGTTGGTAAGCATCCTCAGTGCTCTCTCAAAAAAAAAAAATCCAAAAAAAAAAAAAAAGGATAACTGACCTGCTCTCCAGCTGACTTGGACTGAGAACAAAGTGGGAAGTCAAACGGCACTGGAGGAGTTCAAATGTCCGTGGCTTCTTAAAGAGAGAGCAGAGGCTTCACGAGGGACGACACAGCGATTCCTGCGCCTGTAGCCTGCACACAGGAGGACAGAGGTGGAGTGAAACCAGAGCACATACATGCTCTGCAAGTACATGTTCAGATAAGCGTGACAAATGTTTACATTTGTAGTCACACACACGCACACGGATGAAAGGGTGTTTAAGCCCTCAGCGTTGTTTCACAGACACTGGGGGCGGTACAGTGGGTAACTTGATGAAACCGCCCTTGAAGTGGGGAAAGATGAGCGTGCTGGGACATGTCCCGAGCGTACACTTCTCAGCTGTTTACAAAAACAAATGTCAAGGAAGCAGTCTGATGGTAAAGACCAGGAAATACATGTGTTGCTCTACTGTGTATTGTTACGAGCCAGATATATGTCAAACATGCATATTCATACATCATATATTGTATATATTGTGTCAAGAGGGCAGCATCCAATATTCAGCAGCTAAATGTTACATCTGACAAACAGTTCAGGGATTTTAAGCTTTTTGAGTGTCAGTAGAGGAGAAACTTTTTTTTAAAAGGGTTCAGGCATTCTCAGCTTTTCAATTTCCAGTAGAGTCAGCGAGTTCAACACTGCACCCCCCTCCCCTTTCCTGCAAGACAGCTCTGAAGGACTAAAACACGCGCCTGCCATAGAGGCCATCCTGAGCAGATGTCCACAATCCGCGTGCCGCCAAATTGAGACTATTTCTATATAGTGTTCCGGATGAAGGCGCCGGAAGGATTCGTGGAGTTATGACAACAAGTGATGTAAGACAGTTATATAGTTGTGACTTTTTTTTTTTTTTTCAAATATAACTCAGTGGGCGGCTCCATCAGGATATCAAATGACAGAAGAGGGGTGTTTCATCACGCAGGCCGGCCTCAGACGCATTGAGCTATATCAAGCATGTTTGTGCTGAGTCACACAAACACAACACAAAATGCTAAAATTAAAAAAGGAATTAGATGGGTTAAGGCCGCACAAGGGAGTTACTTTGATACGCAACAAACAGCTGGCAAAATATGGTTGTGTAACAGGAAATAAAAAAGCAAAAGAAGAAGGAAGAGAGGAGTTTCGGAGTGTGGACGTTGCCAAAGGAGACTGGAAAGGATAGGTGGAAAATCATCTGGGAGGGGTGCCTGATACGGTGTTGAGGAGGGAGGGGGACGGACGGCTGGTTTTTCCACTGCCAGAGAGAGAGAGAGAGAGAGAGAGAGAGAGAGAGAGAGAGAGAGAGAGAGCATGTTT